TTTATTTATTTATTTATTTATTTATTTATTTATTTATTTATTTATTTATTTATTTATTTATTTATTTATTTATTTATTTATTTATTTATTTATTTATTTATTTATTTATTTATTTATTTATTTATTTATTTATTTATTTATATGTATTTACTACCCGTGCAACTTCTACATTTACCGTTTTTTTGGGGGGTGAAATAAATGTCATTCATTCATATTGGATATTTGCATTTCAGTTATGAAATACTATCAAAGACTAGTATGTTAAAAAACAAACAAGTCTATCATTATTTAGACTAAATTAAAAATAACAATCTTAGAATAGATTATACTAAAATTTAGAACTTCCGCACATTCTCTTCCCATTGAATCCGGTAGACATAACGATATTTTGAAGGAAAACAGGCTATATTGTCTCCATGAATGCAATGCAGTAGGGGAATGAGAAACATTACATTACTATTTTACGAAATGGAATAAAAATACACAAATAGTCGGACCTTCAGATGATGGAAATCAAAACAATCTAGCATTTTAAAATTTACCTAATTCATGCTGTTTACGGGAAAGAATTGCGACAACGTGCACATGTTGGTGGTCTTAAAAGCTATTTCTATATGAGGATAGTTACAAGCTTCTAACATGTTCGCCTGTTAAAATGTCCGCCTGGGCATAGAAATAACGAATTGAACCCATGCGTGACAAAAAGAAAAGTGAGATATAATGCCGATTGTCTCAGTCAACACAATGCGTGTTCAGATTAATGAAATAATGTGATAATCGAAACAAAACAATAAGCATATAAACTAAACTGAAACAATCCTCTTAAATGCGTCGTTCTTCCTGTTATATTGTTATTTCCATGGAATTACATCCATGGGCAAAATGTTGAGTTTAATTTCAGTATCGAAATATTGTCAGTTAGTCGCGTGAGTACAAGGGCGGAATCCTAGACCAGAGAAGTTACACTAGTTACCCAGAACCAACTTGCCGTTTGCAAGATATTCGTTACGCCCCATTTCAGAACTATGCCGCAGTAATAGACCTAATCTGTATAAACGAAAATCATCAAATTTTTCCCTGACTCTAGCCTTGTCATCTACATAGTAGTTCTACGTCAAATCATGAATTAAATCGTCTACCATCGGTAAAGCTCTCACAGTGGAAACAACGATGAACGGTACAAGCTATGTATTAAAAATAAGAGCGTAGCCTTGGCTCAAGACACTGGCAAAAATTAGATTAAAAGTTCGTTGTAATCAAGCGCTATTGTGTGGTCGATCGACATTCTCATTCCAATCGATAATCGTTTCGAATGAAATGCGATGTGCATGTCATGACTGGTATCGAGGACGTAGTATTCAGCGTTTTTCTAAATAACAGAACTCTAGTAAATGAGGTAAGGTATTCCCGCTTGTGGCGAGAATGATTATTTCTATAGTGACCCACGATGTTGTCTAATATGGCACGAAACCCACCCACATGACATTAACGTAAAATTTCATATTGCGTATACGGAATGAAGTCGAACAGTGTAAATTTTGTCGTGTAATTGCTTGGTCATGTTTCGCCGTTACTGCGTTTCGGGCCCGTAGCTATTTTTGTAATTCCTTTTCAACGGACTTGGTATGGTTTTTTCGGCATCCTCCGAAAAGTATATGTGAACGGTCGTGAACGCTAACGTGAACGATATTATTGTAACACGGTATCGCTGTGAATATCGACGGCAGTTGTCTTTTGTCGTTGTGCAGCCTAGGCAAAACGATAAAAACCGAAGAAAGTTATATTGGGTTAGATCAGCTTTGAGTGTTTTTTTCTGTATTTTCATATTGTCTTTGCATTAGGTTGACATTTTCTTGACATATTTATTGTCTTTGATAAGGTTTGCACTTTGCATTTAGATTTTGTTTTGAACTTTCATTATTCTATCTTGACGTTTTTTTTTAACTTTCTTATTTTAGTCTTGTGTCACATTACTATAATTTAGTAGAATGTGACATGATTAATTATAATTACTATATGATGGAATAATGTATACTGTCGTATGGGGTCTGGCTTCATCAAAATCTCGTCTGATCGCACTACGACAGAAGCTTGTCTGGCTTTGTCTGTCGCAACATCGGTGTTGATAGAATGCATGTCGATATCCCGGACCTCGTCTCAACAAGTGACGCTGGAACTAATAACGAAGCGTCACAAGAAAGAACTAGTTTTCCAGACCCGGCAACTGTGATTAACAAATGAAAGGGAATTTCGGGCAAAGGCGTACGCGTGGTCCTGATGCCCGACGAATAGGAAACAATGTGGCCAATCGAAGTTGCCATACTGTCACGCCCCACATGAACCAAATGTTTGGGTCGCTTTGTCGTCCACGGAACACGGAATGAAACATGTTTTCATGGACGAAATATTTATTTTCCCATTTGTTTTGTCATTTTGAATACAAATCATAACCGGTTTGTTAGATTAACATAATACGAATGTAAATCATAAAAAAAATGTTACATACTACTATACTAGTATATTGCCAGAGACTGGAATAAGTCAGAATAATTACAACTGTTGACTATTAAGACACGAAAAGCCAATTTTCGCGGGAAATATGTATTATTAGTTGACTTGTTCAATACAAATACTGCGAAATTGTATTAATTATACGAGAAACCATGCGTATTTTTTAAAAATTCTTTGCTCATTGTCAGACAAAATCCTTATTCCATAAGAAGATTTGGCAGAAAATTTTCACCAGTGTTAAAAAACTGTTTTTTATCAGATTTGTTTACAAATGCTTCTTGGAAGGGTTTGTGTTGCCGCTACAAATCAGGACACGCTATGCACGGATGATGCATGTTCGATAAATTACACAGAAAACATGCAGGTCACAAGATTATATTTCTAAAATACACCCTCCTTTCAAATATACTGAACAAAAAAAAATAATATTATTTACACACAGTAGGAAATGATACATAATTAAAAACAAATCAAAGTGAAACGACATAGCCAAAATGGTGGCCGAAATCCATAACAATTTTGAGACAAAAAATATATATCTTTCCACCGCCTGCTTTGTAGAAGTGTTCAACAGGTACATATATATAGTCAATACAACAGTCAATAGGGATTTATGGATGACCTAATGTTGTTTGGACAAAGATTTTAGTTTGAACATTTTGAATTGGTGCTAGTCCTTAAGCCTGGCACTTTTTCTGGCACCTGGGACGTTGCTTAATTTCCGAATTCTGACCATTTTGAAGGACAATCTTATTAAGATTTATTGTATACTAAAATATTGAATGGTGTAAGGTGTATTGAAGTATGATTGAGTGTAGGCTCACAAAACACTGGACCCTTTCTTAAAATAGTAGGACACAATTTCATATATACTTACATGCATATCGATACTCTGCACAAATGCTAATCGATGAGAGTTAGCTGTGGATACGAATACGAATTGGTTACAAGAAACACCCATAATAACGTCTTTGAGCAAAATAATTGAGCAATGTAATTCATACTAAGTATGAATTACATATGTTCAAATTTTTAATCATACAACGGTTGTGTCCCTCATGTATACAAGTTCTTTCTTTTATGGTTACTATAGTATGCACATGGTTGTAGTTCATATGAATACACACAAACATGTATCCATCATCAATGTTGTTTTTTTTTAAGAATAACGATGATGTATATTAATAATATCACATGATCTCACCCCAAATGCCATAATAATATTTGATTTCCAAAATCACTCATCCTGCAATAGACCGTCACACATGTTTACATTTCGCGTACGTGTGTGTGCGCAGTGATTGGTTGGTAAGAACCGGCTGTTTGCATAAAATAATGGCGTTGTTCGTTGTTGATACTACAGGTACATGCATGAGTCCCTGTTAATAAAAGAACGTGTAGCAACATTGTTACAACAGATTGCGAGCTATTGCTGATCGGTAAGCGATATTTGTTATCAGACATTTACATGCAGTGGGTGGCAAATATTTAAACATATGATGTCACGACAGCCTATATGATAGGGACCTATGGCCAGTATATAGTGACTGTTTTAAACATCATGTGATTTATATTCTGAAAGTCATGAAGGCATGAATTTGGTTTATAACATATGTAAACATGTTTTTAGAAATAGCAAATAACGGTTGAAAACAACATGACCAGCCACAATGCATTTTGTAATGCAAGACAGTAAACCGTCAAAAGGAACATGGGTAATTAGAAACTCGTTTTCACATTTTATTGTGATGCACTGCAATACCCATCTCGAACAACTATTTGTGCCATGCCATTTTTTAAAATATTCGTTGTAGTCAGATTATTTGTTTAATAAGTCATTGTCAAAGACATTGTTCCCAATTGTATTATTACCTTATGTTGGATGAGTGTGTGTAGTTTAAACTTGATCAGTCAAGACATATCGCATATATGATCCAGACCTGCATTCTTTGAAAACAAACTTTGCACCCGATTCAAAACATAAAATAAAGTGAATCAAGTTCCCCTTATGATTAATGCATATACCACTTTCAAACCAAATATGTTCACACGTGGTTAGATCTAATTCTGGAATGGTGAAAATATGTGATTTTAACGCATGTTTGAACATAAAATGGCTGCCATATAGCCATTATGAATATAATCATGAAATAAATACATGTGTATATGTTTGACATAATGTGAGAAGTTTGAACTTGATCGGTCGTAGTATGTGTGAGATACATATGTTAGATGCAAGTCAATTCATGAGTCCCCTATTTTGAAGTGCGTACAAACTAGGACTAATAATCATGGATAGTCTTGTACTACCATGCATTGTGATTTCAGACAGTTTCTAAAATGGATAATGAAGATCTAACCTTATAACAATATATGGTGTTTGTGAATAATTTAATATAAGCAATTCATCTTTAAACATTCAATCCTCTACAAATACTAACCAAACGCATCGATAATTTTCATATTTTCTATTGGCTAATTAGTCAAATTATAGTAAAATGCATTGAATCACAATGGTTACAGTGACATCATTAAATTATTATATTGGCAATAAATGAAGTCAAAATATATTAATAAACGGCGTATGTTGACATGCACCAAATACCCAAGTTATTTTTATATAGTTAAATATATATATGTTTTCAAATGGTTGATTAAACATGTGAATTTAAACAAAATGTTTCAAGCAGAAAAATTACTTAACAAAGATAGTTCTTCATGGTGATGCTTCGGTATAAGTTCTAGCGACATTTATTCACGAGGTCAGATGCGTCGACATGCATCCTCTCAACATCTTTGTTGCGTCACGCAAATCTCGACAAGCTTCTGCCATAGCGCGACATTTTGATGAAGCCAGGCCCCATAAGACAGTAACAATTATTTACTCACGTATAGTAATTGTGATTTGGACAACTTTAATCCTGTGACTTTCTCCTACATAGCAGCTTATGATGGGTACAAACTGGACAAATCCTGAGACTAATGTCATAATACAGCCACACATCAATTCACTGCTAATGTTCGGGATATCATATTACCTTGGCTAGGGTGTTTTATTCTGCATGAATTATGATAATGCGACACAAGACAAAATTAGAATACTGAGCTCAGGTCATACCACTAAAGGTAGGCCTTTTGTTTTGTGCATTGGACTGTGACTTTGATTGACGTCGACAAAATGGCCGCACTTTCTAATACCCGATGGATCGGTGCTATTGTTATAGCGTGTGTGACCTGCCCAGTCTTGTGCAGCAATATCCTAATTCTCCCTGGCGCCACGTTCGGGAATTTCTACATTACTATATCGAGATTTGGAGAACTGCTGGCCTTGAGAGGCCACAATGTGACCGTGCTGATAAATGAGCTCTATTGCCAAAGATTGGCAGGACTGATAAAAAAACAAAGAACATTTATGAATTTTGAAGAGTATGAATCAATGAATTTCCCGATGCAAACAACCGAGTCACAAAAAGTGCACATATTGCACTAACAATTTCTGAAATACTTCGCATTTTTGATGTTTTGGCAGATGAGACGAAGGCTTTTATTCAAGACACTAATATCCTAGAACGCTTGAATGCCGCGAACTTTGATCTAATTCTTGCTAATGCCTTTAACCCAGGCTTCGCTCTAATTGTTGATACATGGCGTGTACCGTTCATCAGTGTTTCCACCATGAGAGCTTTACCGATGATAGACGATTTACTTCATGGTTTGCCTTCAAACCCTGCATATGTACCAGCGGTAAAAACAGGATACTCAGATGAGATGACGTTTCCTCAGAGACTGGGCAATACATTTGCATACCTTGCATCGGCTGCAATGTTTGAGTTTCTTTTGCTAAAACCATTCAAAAGTATACAGCAAAGGCATAACATCCGACCAGAGCTTTCATACAGGAGTTTATGTAGAAATTCGGAGTTAGTACTTTTCTGTTCTGATTTTGCATTCGATTATCCCCGCCCTATGATGCCGCATGCTATTTATATTGGTTCATTAACAGCAAGAACCCCAGACCCTCTTAGTCAGGTGAGTTTCTTGAAAATGTTTATTGTTATATATATATATATATATATATATATGAATTTCGATATATTCATGAATGTATTTCTTTTATCGGATATCGGTTAGGTCCACTCGAAAACGGAAACTGCGTAAATTTCGAAGTGCTACGTATGATATGTTCTGTGTGAAGAACGGAAATTCCCAAATTTGCAGTCGTTTTACGCCGAACTTGGAGAACTGATACACTAAGTTGCTCTTTTAATACTTTCAGCTGAGAGTTTGTTGTTGTTTTACTTTCAATTTAGTTAGCGTAAAT